CTTTGGCTATCTTAGAGTGTGGTCCAGAAGACCTGCCCTAAAAAAGAGCCTTTTTAGCTTGACTATCTTGATACTCAATGCTATCCTTGACACTCTGGGTGACTTTGAACTTTTCATTTTTATCCCTACTTCATAAATCCATTCACCTGAGAATGCAGGCCCTAAGTAGGGTTCATCCAATGATGAGGGATCTTGAAGCTGTAGTCAAGACTCCCAGCCACAAAACTGCCAGCTCACCCCTGTTCACAACGATGTGACTGCTGTCTACAAGCACCGACTCAATTATGCTCAAGGAGGAAGGGGAGGACATTGCTGTATGATGAGGTCTCACTTATCCCTTCTTTCAGACTCGTTGTGTGATGACACCACTCTTCTTCCCTGCAAGAGATGCCCAGTGGCTCTGACCATCTCTGCTTCTCTCTTAGCTCACCTTGGATCTGAGTGTCCCCACCTCCCAGTAATGCTTGTGCTAGTCAGTGCCCCCCTCATTGTCTCTCCCTCTTCTCTTTCTCTATCTTTGTGCTTCCTGCCGTGGTCCCCTCACCCCCTCCAGAGCTGCTGGATGACCAGCACCCTGTGGTCCGGTTGCTGCGCAGTTTTTCCTCTGACTGTACAGGGGGCCGGCCAGTCTCCTTGGATGCCACGCTGGCGCATCACCTGCACCAGTGCTCCTACCACCTGCGCCTCTTCCGGAACTGGCTGCGCTCAGGCCAGGATGATCCCGAGTGCCTCTACGGTACCCCCTGCCACCAAGCTGGCTGCTGCCACTACCCTGGCTGGGACTGACTGCTTTGCTTATTGCACTTCTGGCAGGAGAGCCCACCTATTTCTTTCTCCTGTTTGCCCTGAGGTTATGTAACTTGCATTTAGTGGCTTGGATGGGATTGGGGCCGGACTGCCTGGTAGCTGTAGCATTGGCTGCTCATCCCTTCCTGTTCTCCTTTCTCACCACCCCCTAATGTTACTCATCCCCCAGTTCTGTTGAATACAGGAGTAATCTCTTGCCTTGGAATCTGTTCTTATCACTCTAACACTTTACTGCCACCATCTTCAAATCCAAATGTTTTTCTAGCCACTCTGAGGAGCTAGAGGCAGTAACTTTCCTGCCCTCCTGCCACAAGATCACGGGGGAAATTGAGGCACAGAAGCCTCAGTTGTATATTTGGGGCAAACAAAGGACAGAGCTTAGAAGATGGTTAGGTTATAACCCTTTTGAGTTACGGGCTTTAGTCGCTGGTGAATGGGAAGCTGTCTTGCATAGACATTGTTGTCCCGCATATCCTTAGTCCCTTTAAGGAGATGTTGAGGAGGCATAGGAAAGATTGGGGACTGAGAAAGTGGTTGGGATGTGTTTTTCTTGATCCTCCATTGGGGACATTTTTTCCATCACCAGTGCCTAGTATTAGGGTTACATATTTATGTTTACCCTTGGCCCTACCCAGACTGATAGACCTACATTGGAATTCTTGGGTTTCGAGCAGAAAATCAGTGCTTTTTCTTTTTTCTAGGGCATTTGCCTCATTTTTCTGATGAAGTACAAAGATCCTAGCAAGTCTGGGGTTTTCCAGTAGATCAGAAGGGTGAAGCTTTGATGTGATGGAAACTATCAAGAAAGAACTTCCATCCCCATCCTGTTCATGCATGTGGTTTTCCTGGGCTGAGCTTCATGTGTATTGCATGCCCTCCAGTTTGCATCCAAGTATTCTAGCCTTTCTACCGACATCCTGAATTTGCATGAACCCCTTCTCAGATTCCATGTCCTTCTCCTTAATCTGGTTCTCTTATTCATGATACCCGAAATCTGCTGTTTCTTCCCAGTTCCCTGACCTCCCTATCTCATGTTAGATCTGCAGTTTCACCCCTTACCTCTGGATCCTTGTTTTATTCCCCCCAGAAAGTGTGAGAACAATGTTGGTGCTTACCCTACTGGGATTCTGTTTATTTTTCCATGGGACATTGCAAGCTCTCCATAGGTAGCATGAGAGGTGATTTGATTCACCTTGAGGCCCTCGCAGGTACATGTTTTAGGAAATCTGAAGGTGAGAGAAATAGACTTCCCTAAGGGCTCTAAAGAGTTCCCTCTCCTAAGAGTCTTGGATACCCCACACTCCAAAAGCTACGGACTCTCCTGATGGTTCTCAGGGACTCTCCATGCTTCCTTGGCCAGTTGGGGTATATCTGGCAGGAATAACATTGACTTTGCCCATCTCTTTTCATGCACCACAGGGCCAGACCCCATTTTACTCTTTTTTTTTTTTTTTTTGAGACGGAGTCTCGCTCTGTCGCCCAGGCTGGAGTGCAGTGGCGCGATCTCAGCTCACTGCAGCCTCCGTCTCCCAGGTTCATGACATTCTCCTGCCTCAGCCTCCTGAGTAGCTGGGACTATAGGTGCCCACCACCACGCCCAGGTAATTTTTTATATTTTTAGTAGAGACAGGGTTTCACCATGTTAGCCAGGATGGTCTCAATCCCTCGACCTCATGATCCGCCCAACTTGGCCTCCCAAAGTGCTGGGATTACAGGCTTGAGCCACCGCGCCCGGCGACTGTTTCTTGTAAGATAGTACTCCTGAACTGTAGAAAGGAATATAGCAGTCAGAAAACATTTCCAGCTGAACTGTTAATAAATAAAAATACCGAGGCTGGGCTAGGTGGCGCATGTCTGTAATCCCAGCACTTTGGGAGGCTGAGGAGGGTGGATCACCTGAGGTCAGGAGTTTGCCACCAGCCTAACATGGTGAAACCCTGTCTCTACTAAAGTCCAAAAATTAGCCGGGATTGGTGGTGTGTGTCTGTAATCCTAGCTACTTAGGAGGCTGAGTCAGGAGAATCGCTTGAACCTGGGAGGTGGAGGTTGCAGTGAGCCCAGATCATGCCACTGCACTCCAGCCTGGGCAACAGAGCAAGACTCTGTCTTAAATAAAATATAAAAAAAGGCCGGGTGCAGTGGCTCACTCCTGTAATCCCAGCTCTTTGGGAGGCCGAGGCAGGTGGACTACCTGAGGTCAGGAGTTCAAGACAAGTCTGGCCCAAATGGTGAAACCCCATCTCTACTAAAAATACAAAAAAATTAGCTGGGCACCTGTAATCTCAGCGACTTGGGAGGCTGAGGCAGGAGAATCACTTGAAACCAAGAGGCAGAGGTTGCAGAGAGTCGAGATGGGGCCATTGCACTCTAGCCTGGGCAACAAAGTGAGACTCCATCTCAAAAACAAAAACAAAAACAAAAACACCGTAGTGGAATGTGAAGAAATAAAGACATCAAGAGGAGACTTCTTTAACTCCAAATTGCTCATTCAGAAAACTCATCTTCCTTGCTGACATCGTGGAGGATGACTTTTTCTTTTAAACCAATTAAAAGCAGACACCCCAGCAGAGATCTACCCAATTCTTGGGATAGTCAGTGCCTGATGGGATATGTAGTTTTTAGGGTAGCACGTGCAACAACTTCAAGTAGGAAAGACCCCCTTCAATTCAAACAAAAAATTGGTTTTTGTTTTTTTGAGACAGAGTGTCACTCTTATTGCCCAGGCTGGAGTACAATGGTATGATCTTGGCTCACTGCAGCCTCTGCCTCCTGGGTTCAAGCTATTCTCCTGCCTCAGCCTCCTGAGTAGCTGGGATTACAGGCATGTGCCACTATGCCTGGCTAATTTTGTATTTTTAATAAAGACGGGGTTTCTCCATGATGGTCAGGCTGATCTCAAACTCCCAACCTCAGGTGATCCGCCCGCCTTGACCTTCCAAAGTGCTGGGATTACAGGCGGGAGCCACCGTGCCTGGCCCCAAAATTCCTTTTTTAAACTAATATTCTAGTGGCCCGCTATTCTCCAACAATTCCTACTTTATTTTTTTATTTTATTTTATTTTATTTTTTTGAGACGGAGTCTCGCTCTGTCGCCCAGGCTGGAGTGCAGTGGCGCGATCTCGGCTCACTGCAAGCTCCGCCGCCTCCCGGGTTCACACCATTCTCCTGCCTCAGCCTCCCTAGAAGCCGGGACTACAGGCGCCCGCCACCACGCCCGGCTAATTTTTTTTTCTATTTTTAGTAGAGACGGGGTTTCACCGTGTTCGCCAGGATGGTCTTGATCTCCTGACCTCGTGATTTGCCTACCTCAGCCTCCCAAAGTACTGGGATTACAGGCGTGAGCCACCGCGCCTGGCCTAATTCCTACTTTAAATTGTTGCATGACCCCTGTAGTAAAAAGCATCACTCAGACCTGACAAACTCAGTGACAACCCCAGTTTTTACAAATATAGTGAAACCCCCTCAAAGCTAACAGCATGATTATATAATTGGGAAGAGTTGTTCCTAAGAGAGAACATGAGTTCCAGAGATGTATAAGAATTATATGTGTAATCTGTACTGCCAGGTAGCCCCAGAAATGCCCTGGACACAAAATCTATCCAAGCTGAACACAAAATTTGCCATCTCTAACACATCATTCTGATTTAGGTGGTCTTTACTACAGGACTCTTTCCGTGTAACCCTCAGCAAGTTGGTTGAGGCTAAGAAGTGAAGACCCGAGTCTGAGGCAAATAAAAGTTATATACAACATTTACTGACATTTCTGAACATGGATAGTTTTAAACCAAGGGTCCCCAGGAGGGGAAAAATTAAGTAGTGTAATTATATATATTGAATATATAGAGCTATCCCAAGGATAAAGGAATCACTGTTTACTATGATAATGATCTGGAGGTTTAAAAAAGAAAAAAAAAAACCACACACACACAAAACAAAGAAAACCACTCAAGTTGACTGGGCCAGAAATCTTATTTGCTCTTCCTTCTCCTCAACATATTTTTATTTCGAGTTAGTTCTATATAAGGAATTTACACCCGTGTTCATTTAAGTCACCCTAAAGTGGAGTATTTAATCAATATTGGTTACTTTCTCATTGGAGTCCTGACATTTTAAAGAAATTCTAATTAAAACGGACAATATGAACAGATTCTGATGGGATTATTCTTGTTCACCTACTCTTTTCTTTTGGACAGAGGTGTCTGCCGGGACTGAGATGTAAGTGATCAGCTGAAGGGAGAAATTGTACACCATGTGACGGACAAATTACCTGACTCAAGAAAGTAGTTATGACCATTCTGCAGCCACTCAGTGACCTTGGCTAGAAACCAATGGCTGTGCAGTGTGGGGTAAGAGGAAAGTAAATACCCTAGGGATCCAGGACTTGTGCATTTGGTGAAACGTCCGCTTCCACTACAAGGCTTTGGGATGTCTAGTCTGTAGACTGGAGAAACGTTAATACTGACTCACGCAGAAACGATATAGCTACACACTGAACTGGGGGAAGGGGTGGCTAAACCCTCTGCAAATAGGAAGTGCCGCAAGAGCACTAGGGTGAGGATGAGGCCCTGCGTGAGCGCAGCCTTCGGGTTTTCCTTCTCCCGATCAGCACCGACTCCCCCGCTCTCGGCGAGGCGCCTCCAGCCCCCGGTAATGAGAAATGTGCCCGCCGCAGCAGGGGCCCACAGGAACGAAGGGCGCCGGCGCTGCGTAGGCCCAACAGTTCCCCGCGCCCTCGCCCCTGGCCCAGCCCGGCCCTTCTTCCCCCGTCCCGGCAGAGTGGCCTCATCAGGGGGCGAAGAACTCCACGAGCACGAGGCCCGCAGAGCCCGTGTCGGAGACGCGACTCTCGAAGTTGTCGTTCGTGAGTTCTAGCAAGTCGGAGACAGCGGCGAGGCTGGCAGCGGTTAGAAGCAGCGCCACGCCCAGGAACAGCGCAAGGCGGCGAGGGCGCATGGCGGCGAGGTGGGGTGGAGGCGGCCGGAAGGGTCGCGGCTGAGCTGGGACTGGGGAGGTCCTGCGAGCGACCACACACCGGCTGCCTGCGCTCGCGCGTCTGGCCCAGGCAGACCTGCAGCCGGAGGTCCCAACCCCCAAGCCCGGCTCGGGCCGCTGTGTGGCAGCCGCCGATTGGCTGCGCGGCGCCTGCGTCGGGCGGGTGGAACCAGCCGATAACCGCCGAGTGGCCGGAGTGCGGGGCGGGGCCGAGGCGGCGAGGGGCTGGGAGAGCGTGGCTGGGCCCGGTCTTAGGCAGGGGGCAGGGGCTAGGGCCGGGTCCCGGGGTGAGCCGAAACCTGGGGGTCGGGAGGGGCGGGGAATGGGGCGCAGTGAGGCTGGGAACCGGTCCTGAGCTCGTCCTGCGCAGGGGTAGCCGGGCCCAGGGGGCGCCTGAGCTGGAGGCGGAAGCGTGAAGTCGGGACTGAGTGGGCGAAGAGAAACTGGGCTGAGGTGAGGCCCAGAAGCGATAATGGAGGAGAGAAGGAGCTAGCCCCCGAAGGAGTGTTAGGATGGACACACCTGGGACCGGACCCATTTTCAAAATGTCAGGCTTTTGCATTTTGTCCAATTTATCTTCACCTGGTTTCTTTCGTGGGCAGGCCAAGCCCTCCCTGAACTCCACCTCGTTGCCCGATTCTCTCAGGCCCAGGTGGGGCCCAGATTCTTCTTTGTCCTGCCCCGGTCCCCTACCCTTGTGGCTGCTGCTTTTTTATTGAGGTGTTTTTGTTTGTTTTGTTTTGTTTTTAATTAGAAATGCCGTCGCAAAGTGAAGATGCCTGGCCACTTGGTCGACAGCACAATGTCTTTACCACTCTTAGCCCCTTTTGTTTCAACAAACCCCGAGTCTTAGTGCAATGTTGTTCTTCCCAACTGCTCCTGGTTCCTAAATGTGGGTACATTAAGGAATCTTAAGGGCAAAGACGGTGGGGTGGAGGGGACAGAAAACCTGTAATCTTTGGTGCAACTCCAAGAATGAAATGACACTAGATGCTTACATTTTCTTAGCAGACATGGCCACTTACCACCAAGAAGGGCAGATGCAGCTGCCCCGAGCTGATGCCATTCGTTCACGTCTCATCGATACTTTCTCTCTCATCGAGCATTTGCAAGGCTTGAGCCAAGCTGTGCCGCGGCACACTATCAGGGAGTTACTCGGTCAGCAGCCTATTTCTTCACTAATTTAAATTTAAGACTCCTATGCACATCCTCTACATTTAAGAGTGGAAAATTCTGGGGAGGTCGGTTTAGTTGCTGGTTTACCAAACTTGATAAATCAAGGGCTTGTAAATAAAACTGAGGAGATAGAATCCATGTCTTTCACTTTTAGGCCTAGGATAGCCACTAGCCGTGGGTGATTCGGAAAAGTTTCTGTCAAAGACACTTAAGACTTTGTGAACCTATTGCTTTTGTGGGCATGGACAGTGTTGATCATAAGCAGTACATTTTCTCTCACTCCAAACAATTCTTAGTTGCTGTGAGAAGAGAAGGACCAGCAGTAAGGCATTAGGGAGACCCGTTATCTGACCAATATCCCTGCCCCCAACCCTACCTGCTCTATTTTCTTTGTCTTTATCCACTATCCCTTTTTAATTTTTATTGTAGATCCTTCCCGCCAGAAGAAACTTATGTTGGAAGATCAACACCAGCTAGTGCGCTTCTCTATAAAGCCTCAACGTGTAGGCCAGATTTCACATGCCCAGAGGCTGTTGAGCAAGCTTCATGTGCGCTGCAGTCAGAGGCCACCTCTTTCTTTGTGGGCCGGATGGGTCCTTGAGTGTATCCTTTCACGTCACTCTTTTTTGTCCTGGCTGTTGATGATCTGCCTAATGACTTATTTTTGCTCCCCAAACTCCATTTTCTCATTCTCACCACTTATGTTATTACCCTTATTATTTCAGCTGCATAAATCAGAAAGAACTCCACTCTGTACATTTCCTTAAGAGACAACAGGTCCTCTCTTCAAAAACTTCATCATCTTCCTGATCTTTTTGAATACGATCGTATTGATGGTTGAAATAGGTGAGAACTGACATTGTGTGAAAGAAGTGAGGCCAGGCGTGGTGACTCATGCGTGTAATCCTGGCTAGCACTTTGGGAGGCCAAGGCAGGCGGATTGCCTGAGCTCAGGAGTTCGAGACCAGCCTGGGCAACATGGTGAAACCCCGTCTCTACTAAAAAATACAAAAAATTAGCCAGGCGTGGTGGCACACACCTGTAGTCCCAGCTACTCGGGAGGCTGAGGCAGGAGAATTGCTTGAACCCAGGAGGCAGAGGTTTCAGTGAGCCGAGATTGTGCCACTGCATTTCAGCCTGGGTGACAGAGTGCAACTCTATCAAAAAAGAAAAAAAAAAAGGAAGTGGATAGGAGTAATTTTTTTTTCTAAATTGATCATTTTACATTTTTGAATGTCATTTGAATTGTGATAAGGACAGTTATATTAAGTCTCCTGGAGTAGGATTTATTCAACTGCTAAAATCTAGAAATATTGTCTGGGCGTGATAGCTCATGCCTGTAATCCCAGCACTTTGGCAGGCTGAGGTGATTGGATCATTGAGGTCTGGAGCTCAAGACTAGCCTGGTCAACATGCTGAAATCCTGTCTCTACTAAAAATACAAAAATTAGCTGGGCATGGTGGTGGGCACCTGTAATCCCAGCTACTCAGTAGGCTAAGGCAGGAGAACGCTTGATCCTGGGAGGCGGAGGTTGCAGTGAGCTGAAATCATGCCACTACACCCCATCTCAAAAAAAAAAAAAAAAAGAAATATTAGTATTTGGAGGGCTCTCAAGAGTATACTAGATACAGAATATCTAGACAGATTAATACTAGGTGTAATATGTAGCAATGTAACAAATCCACACGGAACTGAACTTGGGAAGACCAGTTGTATTTCTGTTGTCAGTTTAGGCTGACATTTGTTTGAATTAACCTTTTCTGTTAAGGATATTGGTGCCTATCACTGAACGATCTAACATTTACATTTTTACAAGTGTATTTAGAAAGATTAAGTACAAATAAGAAAGCTTACAAAGTATGGAAAGGTAGGTGCAACTAAGATATTAGCTGAGCCAAAAAAATTACTTAAAAAGGAAATGATTCTGAAACCAATAATAAATTATATGAAGCATATTCAAAATATAAGGATGTCTGCAAAATCAGCGAGCTCATTTGTTGATAATCTCAAACTGCTCAGAAATGATAAAAGGACAGTAGAACTACTCACTTGTTTAATTCTCACTGTTGTGGGGAAGCCTCCCACTGTATTTTTTAGAGACAGAGTCTCACTTTGTTGCTTAGGTTGGAGTGCAGTGGTATGATCATGGCTCGTTGCAGCCTCGACCTCCAGAGCTCAATTGATCCTCCCCCCTCAGCCTCCTGAGTAGCTTGGACTACAGGTGCATGCCACTACACCAGGCTAATTATGTTGATTTTTTTTTTTTTTTTTTTTTGTAGAGACAGGATCTCACTGTGTTGCCCAGGCTGTCTTGAACTCCTGGGTTCAAAAGACCCTCATGCCTCAGTCTCCCAAAGTGCTGGGATTACAGGCGTGAACCACCGTGTCCAGCCTAGGAGGAATTTTTAAGAGAAGGGCAGGCTGGGCGTGGTGGCACACGCCTGTAATCCCAGCACTTTGGGAGGCCGAGGCGGGTGGATCACGAGGTCCGGAGATTGAGACCCTCCTGGCTAACACGGTGAAACCCTGTCTCTACTAAAAATACAAAAAATTAGCTGGGCATGGTGGCGGGCACCTGTAGTCCCAGCTACTCGGGAGGCTGAGGCAGGAGAATGGTGTGAACCGGGGAGGTGGAGCTTGCAGTGAGCCGAGATTGCGCCACTGTACTTCAGTCTGGGAGACACAGCGAGACTCCGTCTCAAAAAAAAAAGAGAAGGGCATAGTTATGAAGCTCTTGGCTGTTTATGTCACACAGATATTTCCTCAACAGAAATGTCCAGTGCCTGTAGCCAGTTCAGAACTCTGCCTCTAGGTCCAGATCCCCTACAAGCTCATCTCTGGGGCCCAGGCATGGTGATTCATGCCTGTAATCCCAACACTTTGGGAGGCTGAGGCAGGAGGATCGCTTGAGCTCAGGAGTTTGAGACCAGCCTGGCTAATGTGGAGAAACCTCATCTCTACAAAAAATACAAAAATTAGCTAGGCATGGTGACACATGCCTGTAGTCCCAGCTACTCAGCAGGCTGAGGTGGGAGGATCGCTTGAGCCTGGGAGGCGGAGATTGCAGTGAGCCATCGTGCAGCTGAACTCCAGCCTAGGTGACAAAGTGACACCCTGTCTCAAAAAAATAAGATAGTCCTTTAGTGTAGTGAGGTCCAAGATATTTAAATATACAACGATAATTGATGTCACTGACCCAGTACAGTATACTATATACTTTGAGGTGTTTTATTTCCTCCTCGTAATATTGAAGATTTTGAACTAAGTTACTTATAATTCCCTTTTATTGTATGAATGCTGCCATGTATTTGCCTTGTATTAGGATTGTAGTCCTAAGCCTTGGAATGAAGTAAATAATAGTAAATATACAGGATTCCCTAGATCAGTGGTCCCCAGCCTTTTTGGCATCAGGGACTGGTTTCTTGGAAGACAGTTTTTCCATGGATGGGGTAGGAGGGATGATTTCAGGATGAAGCTGTTCCCCCTCAGATCATCAGGCATTAGATTCTCCTAAGGGTCACGCACATGCAGTTCACAATAGGGCTCACACTCCTATGAGAATCTAATGCCGTAGCTGATCTGACAGGAGATGGAGCTCAGGAGATGGAGCCCAGGCGGTAATGCTCACTCAGCCACCACTCACTTCCTGCTGCATGGCGGAGTTCCTGACAGACCATGGACTGGTACCAGTCAGTAACCTGGGGCTTGGGACCCCTACCCTAGATCTAATAGACAAATCAAAATAGAATAGCACTAACCATTCTATTTGGTAAAACAGTTAACTGAATATGCAACATGATCACTGTGCCAGAGGATAAGTAGATTGCCAGACTGGAAATTACCTGTCAAGCTCATGGAAATTTTATCTTATTAAGCTTATTCTTGTGGTAGAGAAGGAGGAGGGATTTTGCAAAGGGAAATGATTTGTGATTAACAGATTTCTTTGAACAGACTAATTGATGTGATAAACATTAAGATGTTTTTTAGGCTTAAACTTTTTTTTCCAGATCACAAAGTGATCTAAACCGTTAGGGCTTTAACAAATCTACTTCCACAGCTGGATATTGGTAATTCTGTTTTGCACTTTAAACATCAATTGGCTTATTTTTAAAATCTCATATTTTGTTTCTAAATAATGAGAAAGAAGAAAAGTTTTTACTCATTTGCAAGCCTTTGTCAGAAAATAACACATCGCAAGTATAGACAATCCTTACTTAAAATTAAAAACTGAGTATATTGGGAGGCTGAGGTGGGAGGATCTGTGGCCGGGGCGCGGTGAAGCGCCGGCCTGTAATCCCAGCACTTTGGGAGGCCGAGACGGGCGGATCACGAGGTCAGGGCCCGAGACTATCCTGGCTAACACCCAGGTGACCGTCTCTGTCAGAAATACAAAAAAAAAAACTAGCCAGGCGGTGGCGGGCGCCTGTAGTCCCAGCTACTCGGGAGGCTGAGGCCGGAGAATCGTGAACCCGGGGGAGGCGGAGCACAGTGAGCTGCACTCCAGCCTGGGCGACAGGCGAGACTCCGTCTCAAAAAAAAAAAAAAAAAAAAAAAAATTGTGAGCCTCATACTTTCATTCTTAGGAAGGTAAAAAGGCCTGAAGGAGGGGATATTGGATGAAAAGCAGAAGGATTGGAAGGGTGCCAGCTGAGTGTTCCAGAATCAGTCTCTAGCTTCCAGTCAAAGGCTTTTCCTTTCAAACCTACAAGGACTGCATGATTCCTGAGTTCTTAGCTATATATCCAGGGTAAAGGGTGCCCAATTAAATCTAGGGAATCTGAGAGGACCTACCTATAATTTGAGCATTTCTGAGCCACCTGGAGAGCACAGTCTATCCCTTTCAGTGTATTGAATCCCCTAATATATTGTACCATTTTGTAGTGGCCTCTTGTCTCTGCCATGTAGCTCTTCAGAAGAATCCCCCTTTTGCTTGCCCACTGTGACTATGCAGAAGTGTAAAGCCATTTGTGGTTATGTGGAATGGCCACATGGTGGTGGCTCTGAATGGCTGTGTGTGTGTCTTGATGTTGCTCGTGTGAAGTTGTGTATAGTTCTGTGTGATAGTTGTGGCTTTATGTGGCTACTAACACACTCCGGCCTTGCAGAGCTCACAGTACTGGGAATGTTCAGCACCACAGTGCTGGGTGGCTCCTCATTCCCCAGATCTTCAGGACTACGCCCGCAGCCATGGCAAGCTACCACCTGCCCAGTCTGAAGCACCCGAGATGAGTATGTGGTGGGTTTTGGGGGATAATTCCTTTTTCACTTGTCTCTCAGCAAGGACATAAGCTCAAGAACTATTCATGCTTAAGATGACACTGGCCTTATAACAAGTTTTCTTCATCAGTAATAGATAGGAGAAGGCACCAGGACCCCTTCCACCCCTTCATTTGCATTCCCTCTTGCCATAAAAATACTATTTATTTATGCTTATCCCTTCATAATCTCCCACATAACAGTCCTGCTGCATCAGTTCGTACTCTTTCCTGGATTCTGGCCTGTAGGGGTAAGGACCAAGGAGGATGATGCATGGTTGGGAAGAATGTAGTGGAACCTCAATTAAAATCCAGCAAATTGGGTTTAGGGAAGGGAATGTTGCTCAGCTAAGGCAAGAAAGATAATATGGAAAGAGACTGGGGAAAGGATAGATATTTCTGTAAATTTTATTTTCCAAATGACCAGAAGAGGACAGTGGTAAAATTAGGGTTGTTTGTGAGGGTGTATTGTAGTAGAGATGACACATAGATTCCTGAGATTTGCAAAGGAAAAGAGATTGACATGTGTTAGTTAGAAAT